AGGAGAGGACCTGCTGACCTCGGGCAGTGCTCTCCTAGCGCTTTTCAGTCCGGCCGCTGCGGCCGGGAGCACATCACACGTCACAGTGCCACATTCGTGGGGCTTTCACCTTCATCAGGAGGGTCATGATGAAGACCCTCAAGATGAGGTCGCGATGAAGACCCATGATGAAGATGCTGCCTGAGGGCCTCCTAAAGTCGGTGAGATTGCTGGTGGACGCGCTTTTGAAGAGACGAGAGAAGAGGAACAAGCCGTTCTGTGCCAGGCACAGGCTGGCAGATGGCAGAGGAAGTTGCTCCTGCTGGAGCGTGCTCCGTGACAGTGGGAGGCAGCCCACTGCCCAAGGAGGGTCTGCCAGGGGACTCTACTGGTTTCTCCTGGGGAAGCAATGGTCTATCAGTGATAAATGCAAATAATTCACCCATCTTCTCTTCAAAGGCCCCATCCGCTCCAAGGGCCCCCTTTGGCTGGGACCACCCCTTGGCCCCACGAGCTCTCTGCCATGCTCCCTGCTCTCAGTGTGTTTGAAGAAGGGTCTAAGGCTGGTTTGGACCCCCTGTGTTAATTGCTTGTCCAAGTGGCTTTCAACCTGCCTTGCATTTGCCCACCAGAGTTTGCACCTATTTTCTTGTCTCGGGGGTGCCTGCAGTATTGTTGGCTGTCCCACCCCTCTGTCCTTCCTCTGGCCCTCTGAGTTGGAGGTATGCCTTACCCACAGGCTTCCAGCACCGTGTCCTTGTGTAGTCTCCAGACTGCCAGTGGGGATTTCCTTCTCCCGGGATGGAGAATCCAGCTCCTCACGGTCGCTGCTAGGTTTGCTCTTCCCTCCAGCAGCTCCTGGTGGCCAAATCCAGGTTGTATTTCCATTGAGCTTCTGCAGAGCTGCTCTGTGAGACGCAGAGCGTGCCTACAGCCTTGTCTCAGTGTGAGATCTGCCCGGTGCCCCCCACCCCCCCCAGGCTGGGCAGCTGCTACTGCAGATTTAGCACTAAACTCATCAGGTTTGAATATCAGCCCATGCGTATTTCATTATTTGTTGAGGAATTTAATTTGCTAGCTCAATTTAATCTGAAGATCTCCTAGATGTGGAGGTGTGCTACGCTGCCAGCATGGGCTCCTTCCCCTTTCTGTAGATTTCTTGGTATCGGTGTCCTTGTGGCTGTCTTTTGTTGAGTTTCTAGGAGACTTATTACGCTGGTGCTCTCAATTAAAGCCAGACATTGCAGCTCTCATCTTGTTTCTTAGCCTGATAGCTGCACTGCTGACACACAGGTATCACTGGTTTGGTTCCCTTCTCTGCACCTCTATTAAGCGACACTATTTTATTTGTGACCGTTTCCAGCCCTTCACTTGAGGACACTCAGTTTCCGCGCTTTTGCTCCTAAACCTGCAGCCATTTCTTCTGCCAGTGCTGGTGTTGCTCCACACTTCAGTGAAAAACTCCCCCCTCATGACCCTCCTTGTACTTTTACGGCTTATCTGAAGTCTGCACAGGCTTCCTTTCTCTCTGTTCCTAGCAACGGGGAAGAGGGCACCAGCTTCTCCGTGCGACTG